CGCAAAATGTGGTGGCTTGTGCTGCTTTAGGTACCAGTAAGAGGATGAAACTAAATCCAGGAGTAATAGATCCATCTACGCTACATAGTGTACAGTATAGTATAGTATCGTGTAGTAAGGTATAAGTACAGGACTGTAGTAAGTGGGAGTATACACTGACTTATTGCGATGAATGAGGAGCTGCATTTTTTCATGAGGTGCTGATATCTGCCTGAAGCATATAGTGAAGTATACAGTCTGAACAGTTTCCGTCTGATGCTCTCCCTCAAATGTACGTACTTTGTTTACAGGACCTCTGGCCACATTTGCATGTAAGCAAGGAAACCTCTGAATAGTCAGCCTCAACCCATAGTGATAACTTTGGAAACAAACGCACAATAGTTTTAAGAAATCTCTGCTGACTTACTTCTGCCATTTCCATAGATGGAGGTACTGGCCTCCAGAGTCTGAGATGGTTCCCTGGCTGCTGCTCCTATACTTAGAGAGGGTGTAATACAGTGGTGTTAGCTAAATTGAAGACTTATTTGGCATACTTGCGTGTAAAAAGTCGAGCCCTGTTTGGATGTCTATCTGGCTAAAACCCAGCGTTCCTATTGGCTGGTATACATGTAGCAACGTTTGTTTTCATTTGGTCTCCACGTGGATGTGAGATTATATTAGAAAAATAGATAAATACATGCAAAGTATGCTTGTTTAACTAGATGTTAGCCCATATATTGGTCAGTGAATGTACAATTATATAATGGAATATTTTAAAGCGTTTCATTTTTCCACCATTATCATATTTCAACCTACTATGTTTTTATTGCTCTCCTTATCTTATCTTGTCTTATCCTCAGCATGTTCCTGTGTTAGAATGCAACACGTTCAGCAAGAGTGTAAAACACTGGACTATTTACACGGCCCACCTTTTATCATAGCAGTGTGTGCTGCCTGCCATGTGGAATAATTGTATGTCCCTCTCCTCTTAACGGATTACACATGATCGGTTGAATGAACTAGTTGTTGAACTTGCCAGAAGTCAGCGGGTCAGTTCATTATACATTATTCCACTTTTACAGCACTGCCAGCTCAACACTGAAAGTACATACTCTGTGTCATCCTTCAAGATGAGTGAGACACATATAGAAGAGGCAGGACTGTGCACATCCTATAACTGTCCTTCTCTGTAGGTTTTTAGACACACACACACACACACACACACACACACACTGGAAGCTCTCATCTTTCCATCTGGTGAAGTGGGCTGTTGTGATTGATTTGTGGATTTGCTCCCTCTTTTTTTCTCTCCATTTAAGTGAAATAATGTATGGAAGCAATCTGGCGACAGACATTTTGGAAAATCTATTTGAAATCATTTCAGCTGAAGCCATGGCAGTTTGTCTTCTTAGGGGAGAGGAGCAAAGTATAATTGTCTGCAGTCTAGTAAAACACAGTATAACTGCCATCACACTTGACTGAGCTTATAGCCAGCTAGTCCCATGGCCTCTAGAAGATAGAGCAGTTAATGTTCCCTTTTATTTTAGAGGATATGTCACTTGTATCGCAGATTTATACCATGATACAGCAATTTTGTCCAAACAGATGGATAATGGTGTCACCAGCAAAAAGCCCTGTTTTTATTGAGTTTAGAGCATATTGTTTAGATAGGGGGCTGTGTTGAACAGCTCTGCCAGCGCTTTCTCTCTTTATCTCTCTAATCTTGCCAGTATTAGATTTGATCATTTTTGTTTGAAGGAGGAAAATGTGGCTGTAATGGCTTCCTAATAGCAAACACAGGGGATACAAATCCAGAGACCCTGTTCTGTAGTGCTTCCATAAGCACCACTGATTTATAGAGGTCTTTATGACAGAAAGGAAAATGATCTGCTGCAGGTATAAATCAGGTGAGGAGTAGGAAATTGAACTTAGATATCATCTTGTCAGATGCTTAATGCTCTTCCTCCTGTCACATTCGATAGGACCAATTTGGCGAATCCTGCAGAGGTAAAAAGAAGACAATTAACAATGACAGTGTGGTAATAGATGAAGCTATAAAATGAACCTGCTGCCTGCAGGATGCTTTGTATGATTTCCACATGAGGTAGTAGCAGGGTTGTGTTGTCTCGGCCTTCCATTTCTTCCCCATTCGGTTTTTGGTTTCTTGAGCACATAAATATGTAATACTTTAGTAAAACAACAAGAAAACAAAGAGATATACATATATTTTGTTCTATGCACTATAATTGAATTACGATCCTGCATATGACAGGACTTGTAAATTTAGGTTAACCTTGTTTTTATGTTATTGATTCCGAGGGCATGTTCTCTGCTGACACTATATAAAATGAATCAATATATCAATAGTCAAGAACAAAACATATGTGTGAACAAGAACATTGAAAGTAAGAACAGCCTAAATATATTATATTACTGTATTTGGAGCTAATTCAGTACATGCTAGCACCTCAATTTGAAGTTTTTTAGTTTTTAATACTATGATGTAGTAGATATTTCCATGTCTAGGCTATGTCGCATATGTCCTTCTCTAGTTTATTACTTAATCAAGGTACCACAGTTGATTGTTTGCAATAATAATTGTCAAACTGTATGAGTGCTCAAACAGATGCCATCACTCAGTGGTGTAATGAGTTCAAGATAGGACAGAGAATGACAATGCTCTCTGATCCCTGAATGTCACTCTGGTGTAAACTGCAGCCCAGTGGTTTATTGCTGGCATCATGTATTCAGCGGCATGCATTCATGATTTGACAGATTGAATGTGGTGGTAGGGGGTGGGGGGAGTGGAGAGCTATCCATCTGGATGTGTACGTTTTAAATGACTTGAATTTTAAAAACTAATTTCTTGGAAGCTGATGACCTTTTGTGAAAAGCTGATCAACTTTGTCATGCGGCAATTCAAGCCCAAGCAGCTAAGGAGCAACAGTAATAACCAGAGATCCAGTGCTCGGGAACCATCATCCCTCGCAGCTCATCAAGCCGAGCTCTTGTATAATCTAATCGGATTTTAATGCTTCTCTGAAGGAGATTGTGCTCTTATTACTGTGTAATGATGCTGTTGTCAAGAGCCAATGGTGATGTCTGATATCAAAACCATGTTAAACTGCTTCTGTGACACTCATCTCGACATTTTCCACATCGCCTCCAATGCACAATGGCTTGAGCTGTATATTTATGACTTTGTTGTTCTTCCTGTTGCATTCTACTTCCTGATGGACAGAAACATGGTACATCTTTAAAAAATCCCTCCTTTATTGCTTTTGTCTGATATGGTGCTTTTTTCATATTCAGTACAGTAGATAGAGCATAACGATGAAGGTCTTCGCTGAGATGAGGAGAATTTTGAAGCGCTCACACTCGGGGGCAGCAAATGGAAAAGTGACAAGCCTGGTGCACTTGTCTATTTTACTTATTCTGTGCCTCTGTTTCATATTCTGCTTCGCACCGTGGGGTTATTTTCCTCCGGGGTTCAGAAGGGCACGCTCTTTCATTTCTACAGAAAATTGTTTTGCAGGATTTCAATCTTTGGCTGCTAGATATGACAAAACACAATATCAAGAACACTTATGTTTCTTATCTGCCATTTTTTCTGGGTATAAATAAAAGATCAGTATAAATTTGAGTCAAGTGGCCTCGAATGCACATGTGAGAGATGAGTATGAAAAGAACTATGAACCTTGGGACAGCCCCACTGTACATTTTCATCGCTTGCTCAAAATTACCCTGGCACTGGGGCTTTGTATGTCATTTGTCATCCTTGAAAATCAATTAGTGTCTCCATGAAAGCAATCCAGATGTAATCCTTTTTTTCACTTGGAGACAAAAACCAGAGTGTATCTTTTGTTTTCGCATTATACAAAGAGTTTTTCTTTAAACTGTTCATGTAATAGGTTGAGATCAAGGTCAATTCCGGTGCAAATTATAGTACGAACATCCTAATTGGAGAGTTAAAAGGTAATTTTAAATATTAATTGTGCCTAAATATGCTAATACTTATAAAGGCAAAGATCTCTCTGTGACCCCTCATCTGTCTGTGAAATTCTTCATGCACTGTACAGATAGCAAACTGAATGTTGTTAAACTGAGTTGAAAGCAAACAAATAATTTTCTGTCTATGGGTACAAATTGTCAAGAAATGATTCAGTGCTGTGGAATCAAAAATATTACTCAAACATACATTGTTAAACCACATAGCACAGAGATCCTTTGTGATATATCACTTATGACGATGCACATATGTGCAGGCTGTGTATACTGGACAACCTCCCAATGGTGTGAAAACATCCAAACATTGTCCTATTGATGTCCCATTTTTTTTCCCTGTTTGCCTCTTGTCAGAGGTCAACCTCAAACAGCATGCGGTGGAATCAGGCGTTACTGTCTATGTCAAATTGATGCATTACAAGGCCCAGGAGGTCACGTCTCTGTAAACATACATTATCAAAACCCATAGAAAACGTGGGGTGTTGACCTCACGAATAGTTTACGGCCTATCTTCAGGGGAAAAGGGTCATGTGATGGTAGAGAGCAACTTTGTAGCCGCAATGAGTTTCTTGTTGCAAATGAAGAGGGTCAAGCAATCAAGACTGGTCGGGCTCCGTGTCAGCCCTATTATCTTACACTGTCTGAAATGATCAATGAGCTAAAATAAAATGATCACAAGCTAAAATTGGCCTGCTAATGAAAATGGACCGTTTAAACACGCTCCTGAGTGAGAAGATGGCCGGAGAATAAACGGGGCGGCAGTTTAAAATACACGACTCAATGAAGGTGGCAGGAATAAACGAGAGCTATTGCCATCATGGTTATTTACATGTTGGTTTGACCTTTTCATTCATATTTTGATGTAAATGCAGAATCACTTTCAAAATGCAGCAACAATTGATTGTTTTCAAGGCAACAGTAGTCAAAAAATTCTTTAGCATGTCTTACTTAAAAAAAAATAAAAAAAAATGCATCTGTCTCGCTGAATGTGTTGTGATTCTGAACACACGTACACAGATGTTTCCAAAGGTTTATTTAGTAATATTTATAGAGAACAAGAATTCCAACATACAGCAAAAGGATACAGTCTGTAAACAGCTCAATGACTTTGTCTATATGTAAATAGGTTGTATCGATAACTCTCTGAAACAGAGACTTAAAATATAAAAAGGCACTTGGGACAGGTGCACAGTACTGACATAAATCTCCATTTTAGCAATTAACAGTGTACGTGCATTCCTATTATGGTACCGTGGTTGTGTAAACATGTAAGCATCACCGTGCTACAGAGTATCCCAGTCAACACTGTCATGAAAGGCAAAGCATCATAGAAAAATATTTATAAATAATTTCCCATAAATACAATTTCATTTCCCCCACAAAATAGTTGTTTTGTTTCCGCAGTATCAAACTAACTGACAGAATACTGTTAAGAAATGCAGTCAAAGACAAATAAAATACAAAAAATAAAGAAAACAAGGGACAAACCTTTTCCTATACAAAATCCACACCATGTAGCATAATCCTTGAGATGTAATAACAGCGGGAAGGACAGTTGGGTTGTTTGGTGGTTGCAACCAAATGCTAGCATTATGCAATTCAATATCTTACTATTGCTAGAACTATAAAAGCAATTCTCAAAAGAAAAGACATTCTGTACTGTAAGTTGAAAAATCCCATCAACTGCTGACTTGTTACTGTGATATTTCAACTCACGGCATTTACTTGCAAGTTAACGGTCAAAAGAAAAGAAAGAACAAAGTCCCAGCATGACTTGAAATAACTACTCCACAGTTTCATTCCACTTCCATGGCAGACGCATCTTGCTCTCCGTCAGATTTCTCAGAGGGCAGATCTTGTGACTCTGGGGTGCTTTGGCTGTCTGACGCAGAGCCGGGCTCTGTGGTTGCTGGTGTGCCTGGCTCTTTGGTGTCTGTTTCAGCTGAGACATCCGCAAGCTTGGTTTGCCCTGATCGAGATACAAAAACAATTATTTAAAGAATTCTGTTTAGATTTGCACACATTTAAAACAAGTATAAAAGCAAAGAAAATGATATGTATATGCGTTAGACAAGAGTTTTAACATCTAATTTCTAAATGTACTAATATTGGTAACATTTGCCATGTGTAGATGAAACCTGCTTAAGTGCCATTCTCACCTGAAACCGACGGGTCATCATCTACGTCAGCAGCAGATGAAGGTACGGGTGCCTCAGATGGCATCTTCAGTTCCCCACTGACCTCGGGGAGTCGGGGGGCCTGAGGCCTGGTCTTTCTGGCAGGGTTCAAGAAATAACAGTATGCACATCGGAAGGCTGAAACAACACAAGTGAAACACCGCACACAGTTTATGTCACTTCTCTAATACATTTTCAGAACAGACATAGATTAATATACATGAATATGAACCAATGACAGAAAATGCCTGAGATTCATAAACACTTCAGATTGATGTGTAGCACTGGTTTGCATATTCAATCTTGTTGCGTTTTTGCTTACAGGGGTCGGTTGTGGCGGAGGCATTTAAGAGCTATATGATATACTACGCTGCCAAATGCTAGAGGGCAAATGAAGGCGCAGTATTTGATGGAGACTGACAAGAGTGTTTCTTTAAGTCTTACCAACATATTCAAATTCCTCTTTTAATGCCATGCCGTTATGGGACAGACACTGCTGACAGATGAGAGCGTATCTACGAGGAAGGAAAGACAATCAAGTTAAGACAGCATACAGTACAGAGACTGGCATTATATCACACAAAAGATAGCTCTGCACTGCATCTTTACAAGTTGGCTAAGAACCTGCTTAATATTGCTTTAATTACACATCCCCACAAAACGGCATTTATAAAACTAAATTGTTCCTGTTCAGAAGCAGAGGGTGAGTACCTGTTCTGAGGGCCATCGCCAACAAGATACTCAATGACTCTGTCCATAGCGCCTCTTTCTCTTGGGACCACAGGTCTGGCCAGGGGCGGGCCGGGGGGGTGCATCCCTGTTAAAGAACATCAATGCCTGTTAGACGTACTCTGTACACTTGAATACAACTGCATTGAACAGTAAAAACCAAGTGAAACAGTGAGGCTGAAATTCACAGTTTACTGCACAAACCATGATGGATATTACAAAAACCCGCCCCCTCTTTCTTAATGAATTAACACTGGATCTCACTTGCAAAGCACGTCCAGAATCCCTGCTGCGTTGGCGAGTAGTAATTAATATAATCTAACATCAAGAGCAATCATAGGAAGATGACTGGTCATTTCTGTGAGACTTGGCACAGTCTCAATATCCTGCTGGTTATTAATTTACCAACATATGGAAACTCTGTGGTGACTCTTTGTGTCAAATTGCTTTTCACTTTCAATTTTCAGCAGAAGCAAGTGATAACATCAAGTCATGTAAACCATTTGCAAGGTGTTTCAAATGCCAAAGGCAATTTCACCGAGCATTAAAAGACATTTAGTGAGATTCTACCAGCATTGCCCAGAGAACAAACGCAGGTCTGGCTAATTAATCATAGTTAATGTAATCCTGATTCGTGCATGCCTCACAGTTGGCATTCCACATGGCAATTACAGCATGCCGCTTCCTCTAGGAACACATGTCCTTTACCGTTTGCACTTATTTGCATCTTCTATCGAGTGTTCATAGCCCATAAATAATTTATATCGACTATCCAGCAACTCTGCACTCCACAGATGTCTTCCACATACAGCAACTGTTCTATGGAAAGTTGTCCTCGTGTTGGCTGGCTTTGTAAAGCACACACATCACCCTCTTGAGGTAAACATTCTGACTGCATCAACAGATAAGCCCCCCCCCCCCCCCATTTCTAATCTTAGTCCACAATTATGCACTCATTTGAGAAAGGTTTAACCTTTGAGTAAGATATTTGAAAACTACATTCATGCAATTACCCATTACAACTTCTGTATAACATACACCACCCTTGCTGACAACACACACCACAGAGCCTTGAGCAACTAGGGACACAGAGCCAGGGAAGAGTAAATCACACCTTAATCGACCACATTATGATGTGGTCCCCCCGTGTGCAGGTAACTCACCGACTCCTGGAACAGGTGTTCCAGGGGTCACAGGCCTCCTCATCAAGCTCTGCTGAGCAGCTATAGCAGACAGGCTCCTCTCTGGGGGTCCACCTGGAGCAGAGTGGGAGGACCGTCCAGGATAGGTGGGCCCAGAGGCAAGAGGGGGGCGAGCAGCAGCTCCGCTCGCCGGATTCACCACCACTGAGGGGGTCTTTGGGGTGACATTGCGCTGGCGGAGCTCTAAACACAAAAAAAGATTCCAGTTTGCTTAACAATAGTAAGACAGAAGTGAAAACAGTGCGGTCTTCAGAACCCATCGCTACCTTGGCCTGGTTTTGGAGTCATCTGAGGTCCGACTGGAGTGGATTCAAGCTCCTTTATGCAGAAGACAAGAGAGTGCAAAAGTCTGTTTTAATATGGAAAACTATTAGGAAAAAAGTGTGTTTATGTTACAAAATTAAAACAAAAGGACTCACAATTTTTCTCTTGGAATCAGGATCAAATCTCTCCAGAATCATTTTAGCATTTTTATACGTCTCCGTTTCCATAACTTCTTCAAGCTGGAAAAAACAAGACATTAAATAATATTATAGCTTAAATTCAATTCTCCAATTCATTGCACAAAGAAATGATTCCTATAATAATAGCTCTATTGCTTAGGAACTATTTGATGGTCATCAGATTTAATTAATAGGAGTTTCATAAACACACATTAATATCTTAAGATCACCTACCGTAACATTACACGTAAACGCAAGAAAGGGCACCCGGAAGTTACTCCACTAAATAGTACGTCTTCATTTAAGTACCAAACATTTCAAAATGTTTATATAAAATATGAAGAATAATTACATTCACTACTTCGATAATGGAGAGTGTGAAAATCCATCAGCCCTAATTATTGAAAGTTATTAGACTTGACAGAGGATGACAAGCAATTTCTCAGATTTATTTCTTTCCTGCACTAAATGCTATTAATTAAAGTGTCATTAGCAGAGTGGTTTACTGGGTTAAGTCACTGTACCAATCAAACTCTGTCTGTACACATCCCAAGTTAGCAAGCATCTTGCTGCAAAATGCTGAGGGGATCGATAAGAACAATACCATGATAATAATACCAAGGCATCCTACGAAACTTAAGAATGAAGTGCAAGTCTTCACTTTGCTAAAGAGACATCAGAGTTACAATGCGTTCCACAATGCGTTCCTCTCAAGCTTGCAGAGGGAATTTCAGGGACATTGTAGAGAAAATCTGTGGGGTGCTTGTAGTGCAATTTTTGTAATGGCTTCATAACTACTACACTGAGTGACAGGGTGAGACTAAACAATAGAAAAAATAAAAGAATATAACATGCTTAATACCAACAGACACTGTTTTTGTGAAGTCTCATTTGAAAATATTTGAGTTTTCTAAACAGCAGCAGCTACACCTGACCAACCGTTTCATCTCTGCTAAAGGATGCATACGTTCTATTGTTTGTTCCACACATGAGCACAGTGAGCATCATACTAAAGTTCTCCAATAGCCGTTTCTGTTCCAAGGATTTTAGGCAGTTGGTTGGTAACAGTTGGCTCAAAACAGGGAAAACTGGTAAATTGTTCAATAAATAAAAAATCCTCATCTGTGATGTTGACATTCTATTTCACCTCTCTAGCACACCCACTGAAACACTTTCTATTTTATATAAGATACATGAATGTGACGAGAATCTCAGGGAAACATTAGTCAGTACTTTTGTCATTTAGGGGCAGGCCAGATGCCAGGCTGTTCTGATCTTAAGTGTCACATGTTTCAGTGTTTTTAAGTCTTTGGAGCAAAAAGCAAAGGAACAATGTAAATGAAACTGGACAAATATAAAAACATCACTTACTATTTTCCTTTTTTGTGCTTTAAGATCTTCTAATTTGTCATCTGAAAAAAAAAAGAAAAAAAAAAAAAAAAGGTTTTACTTGAAAATTCAATACCAGCTTGAACATGAACAAAATGACCATTACATGGTAAGTTGTGTATAAATATTCAAAAAGGGTCTTACTATTTGTTTCAGTTCTTCGTAAACAAATAATAATAAGCATTTTTCGAAGTAACCAAACTCTAATAAAGGGAAAAGAAGGAATACAGTTGATTGGTTACAATACATTGTAGTTACAGTTTAGTGAAAATGTGACTGACTATCTCGCACACTTACAATAACGGGAAAATTACGAAGGGAAGAGACAATATGAGCTGTCCCATCAGCTGTTCAGGCAGGTACCACAAATACACAACTATACATGCGATCAGGAAGAGAAGAGACGAGTACAGAAGCAGTCGCCCGACCCATATCTTCAACTGCCTCCGATACTTTTCACTGTATTCTTCAAGCGTCTGTATATCCTGTGAGGAGATAAATGAAATGAGTGTTATGTTAGCGATTCCTATTAGTGGGACGTGACTTTGGTTAAGTGAAACAGTTTTTTTCATACAAACTACAAGTAATCCAAGGGCCATAAGAATAAGCATTATGGTTTTACACACATTTAGAGCTCGGTCTCATTTAATGGTTAACAGTGAAACACAGCTCAGATCAGTTTGATTATTACACATGCAATTTGCATACATTTTCTATATTGTGATATATATCTGAGAGAGAGAAAGACAGAATTCACACACAGAACTCAACTTCTAAACCTTATGGTGAGGTGAAATGAAACTGTGGTGACAAAAGCAAGTTTTCCAGGTTACTGCTAACCCACCATCCCTTTAGGATGTTGAACATTAGGACGAATTTGAAACTAAACTGAGAATATTTCAACTGTTTTATTTTTCTTAAGCACAAACTAAAGTACAACAGCAAATCCAGTGTCAGCACTGCCTTAAATGCTATGTCTCTCGACAGTGGAGATGGGTGTCATATCTTTACATGTTGTTTTGACAACACCACCAACACTTTTAGTGGGAATGGAAATTTGAAGCTGAACATGTAGCATATCAGATAAATATAATTCAAACTTTGCAGTAACTACTGGAAGCACACCAAAAAAAAGCGATGGTCCAATCATGATCAAACTTCTCTTCTGGCAGAAAAGGCCGATATTCATATAATTCATTTTCCAATGAATAAAAGGCTTATTCATCCTTTTCTCAATAGAAAGGTTACCTCACTGCGTTAAAGCGCTGTTTACTCCATCTATAAATAGCTCATGTACAGTACGGGACCCACTCTGGTCACTACGGTTCTCCTGTAACATGTGTGTCTGTCACTCTAAGCACTGGATAAACAGATCTCACATTCAGCCTTACAGTATAACACGCAGGCCGTCGCGTGTGTGTGGTGCAACCATCCCCATGATTTCTCTATAGAGGAAAACTAACAGGCCAAACAACCGTCTCGTCAACACGTCAATGTCCACCTGACCTCTTCAGTATATGTGTAGTGTATCATGCTACAAGGACAGGGGCTGAAAATAGCCTCACGCTAGCTTAACTGTAGCAGAGCACTAAAGCCCCATCAGTCAGCAAATGTGGAGCCGATTTAGAATTTGTTGACACGTCCGTTATGGTCAAAAGAGCTTCAGGCTTATGGTCAAAAGATGCAAGCTTATATAACATGTCTTTAATAGCACTGTACCAAAAACAGGCTTACGTGTTCACTAAGCACCAGTGAAATAATACACAATATCGTCAAATGATCAGACAGGTTGTAATCAAACGGCCAGGTAGACCAAACTGATTTGGCATTGGAAGCAAAGGCGAACGGTAAAATGATCACACAATTTGTCCTTTGTGAACCATTGCACTCATTTTCAGTTTTACCTCCAAACGAAGTGGAAGAGATAATCTGGCAAAACCTGTTTTTGTTGCCCCTCTGGGCCTATTTTCAGTGATATCGCCACTTTCCAGATCTCTGCAATTACTTTGGTGAGTCATCATAACCAATATAACTGATCGCCAGAGCTACAAAAATAAAACTTAAGTTGTAATGAGCCATAGTCTACCTTCAAGTACTGTACATGCATATAAGCAATTCACCAGTAACCGTCCCTTCAGATGTCCCACTGACGGGGAACAGTGCATAAGAGCATAAATAAAACACTGGAATTTCTTACACCAGGCCCTTGCTCCCTCTTTTTTTTTTATCTTCAGTAAGGTTTACAATGAATGTGTAGACTATCTTCTATTTGAATAACTTCATCTGTCAATGTATACCAATTGTTGGTTTGGTAATGTTATTGAAAATGTTCTTGTTCGTGGTCTTTTTCTACAAACCCAAAGTGCAGGCTGGCGAGTAAAATGTTGAGCTAGAGCATGGATTTATTGTGTTTTGACAAACCTATAGCACGTTATCTCACACCACAAGCAAATATATGTACAAGAAGGACTTGAAGTTTTAAATCAAATGTGTTTTAGAGAATTCAAAACAGCACTTCTGGCATTTGACAAGCATACCTTATCGATTCCCTCCAAAATGTCCACAGTGGATGGTTTTGTCTGTAAGGCAAACATTTGGAAATCCAAGTCAGAGTGACGAAATCATGACATTTGCAACTGTACACTTTGTGCCAGCAACTTCCTGAAAAGATCTGGAAACTTCCCCTTTCTGCACATTTTGTATATGTGTTATATTGAGTCTTCTTTTGTTGTTCCCGATATTATTCAATCAGCCTATGCATGCAAATATGCAAAGGAATGGAGATGAGACTATTAGCATAAACATCTGGATTCTGATCCATTTATGTAGACCTAGTATGTCACCACTATTTGTGCATGTATGGTGTGGTTGAATTATTTGTCCTGCACGTTCATGCAAGCTGAAACCTTATCAAAGCTAAAGTTAAGGCAAAATGAATGCAATAACATTATTTGTATTAATGCAGCTGCATGCAACATAAGTAGAAAGACATAAACAAACCCTCCATCGTGAGATGACTGCACCCATGTTGATCAAGGGGTTGAAGGATATTCTGTTCTGGGACCCTCCTCTAATTTCCTCCAGCAAGTAACCTCTCCACCTGTTGACAATAGTTATTGGCTTCAATATACACTTAGTTAGCAATTCAAGAGGAAAATGTAGCTACAACTAATGCAGTGCAATGCAATTGATTTGACCATTTGATAAAACTAAACTTTAGAGAGGCGCTCATGGTTTGTGAGGGTGATGCATTTTAATATACTCATATAATGGGTTGAAACAAAATAGGTGAACCATCATTCAGCATTGGGCAATACAATGCATCAGTTCTACAAATAACTGCCTCCAAAATAACCTTCAACTTGCATCACCTCAAAGGCTGTTTCAACAAAAACATAGCCTTTATTGCAAGGCTGTTGTACTTGAAAGCGATATTATTTCGCTACGTGTAACTGTGTGAGCATACGTTAACGTTACACGCAGCTAGTATTTCAAGTTGTTTAACGTATCGTAGTCTTCGTGTCCTGTGTGAAACGTTACCCTCGCTAAATTAAGTTGACGCTGGCAAACTTAACATCTTGACTCCATGTTTTCGGAGGCAACTGCCATTTCATTAAGTTACGGGGCTACCAGCGGTAATGGTTAGCTCACATCAAAGGACAGTGTTGCCATGTCGCCATCACCAAATAACGTCTCTTAAATAACTTTCTACCCACTTAATGCATCAGTGGAGTAAACTGTTAGCGTTAGCCAACGTTTCACTATCTAACCATGGGAAGCTAACCGCTAGCTGCTGATGCTAACACTGAAGCAGCCTGTAGTTCATCGTGATAAGTAACAGCAGTCGTTGCTAACAAGTTAACGTCCTTCGTAAAAAGAAAGCGGACACCAAACAATGTGGCTGCAAAGTGAATGAATCACAGCCAAGTCTTTAGAAGTGCAGTGGGGTATTTACCTAAGAGGTGTTGTCCTAGTTTCGACAGCCTACAGCAGCAGTGCTCCTGTCCTCTGACGGAGCGTGTGTCAGCCAAGATGGGGGAGTGTCCGCTAGAAGAGCAGCATGGATCATAAGCACTGCCGGGGCCTTCAAGACTCCATGTCCATGTCACTTATGTTTAAACTAAAAGGGTTCTTATGCAAACCGAGGTGGCATGTACTGTGATATGAAACTAAACTCTATCATCAACGTTTTTGATATGTCTAACAATGATGGTTATGAATTATATGAACTTTAGCTGAGCTATTAGTCTGGTGTTGTTGTTGTTGTATTAATAGTATGAGTGGTTAAAGAAAAAGAGGACTTATGCAATATACCAAAATGCATGATGCATTAATCCTTCTGATCTTAAAGTGAAATTTTAAAATGAGTATAATCCCCAACAGTTATTGTGATTCTGTTATTGTGATAATAAATAAATATATATATATATATTTGTATATGCTTCATGTCAGCCAACCCTACTAGTATTGATTGCCAGTTGATTGGCCATTATTAGTAAGGGTCATTATTGCACAAGCACACTGAACCCCAAATGACTCTCGCCAAAAGTGTCTGCCAAGTGAATATAATAGCAGTTATTATGCTTTTTGCTGATTTTTTTTAAACTCAGGACAATGCTGTCTTTTATAATAAATATGAAGAAATACAAAGCCTTAGATTTATTGGGTTTGCACACAAAATGCAATCACACATTCTCTATTCAAGGCCCATATCCAACAAAGCTTTTTGTAATATATTGGAGTAGGTACAATTTCCCATGTTGATGTTTAGATTTGCAGGTCCAACACATTAAATTGCAAATCTAATTTAAACAGTGTGATTCATTAGTGAGTATGTAAGCACAGCACTGGCCTGAGGCAGCTCATAAAAGCCAGAGCAGATCACAAAAAGCCAATTATTTGGTGAAAACAGAAGTAAAAACAGACTAAACAATATAAACTGAAAAAATAGCATGTTTCAATAACATCAATTTGTACGAAATGATTTGCTTTAACAACCCCATACGTTTGCTATTTAATAAAAAACTGATTTGGTTCAAAGAGATTTAAGACCGGGGTTGTTCCCCCAAATAGTACTGAAAGTTGCTTTGCAACCATTCTACCTTTGGAAGATATACCAGAATAATGCCCACCACCTCATCTGCACTTTTGCAGTAAGTAAAGAGACTGTGTTCCTTAGTTTTGTGTAATAGGAGTATTGCTGCTGTGCTTGATAAAAAAGTCATAAGATCACAAAATTTACTAGGTTTCATCCTCTATACCGTCCTCATATCTGTACCAAATTACGTGGTCATCCATTGCGAATTTGTTGAGATATTTTTGTCTGGACCAAAGTGGTGGACTGACAGACATTGCCAGAGCCACGCAGCTAGCGTGGCTAAAAAGCTATAACTGGTACTGGGACATTTTGCTTTGCACTGGTGTTGGTTGTGGAAGAAGAAAAGAAAAGCTGGAGGCAAAATAAGAAGAGCCCAAAGTAGATGGGTGAATGTATGCATTTGCTTGGATGAACAGCCAGTCAGAGATCCACACCACAAAAAACGTCAGCCGATGATCAACCGCAGAGACATAACGATGTCCAAATGTACAGCCTCATGTTTGTGCCCCATAGTCTCTTCTCTGCTGAAGCCTCATTGGATCGTAGGTTTGTGGTGTTCGCTCATTTAGTGGATTCAACTGTCCTTTTCACAACTGTGATCAAGAATAACAGTGTTTGTGCATTGATTGGGAGAGATAATGGTGCTATAATAATGGTAAAAATGTATTAATTGTAAGGTACTGCATGTTAATGAACTCCAAAACCACCGAAATGAATTCAAAAAGGCATTACAGTTCATGGTATTCTTCACATTTACCATTAATTGTGTTTCCTATTCAGTATTTATGAGAATCACTGGTCCCAACAGTTCTGTATACGCATGTAAACATAATCACGATCAAAGCCTGGTATAGGAAATATGTGCAGAGACATGTCAGTCAAGGAACTCATTGTCTTTGTTTACAAACTACGTGGCCCTGTTTGCATAAACTGCAGGATTGCAACATTTCTTTAGCTTAACATGTTTTTAAAACAAGTAAGTGCCTTTTTAGCCTTTATTAATACTGTCAGGGGAGGAAAAGGGGGGTGGGGGGGTTGACTTGCAACAAAAGGTCCCAGTTCAGAATCAATGCCGATACATTGAAAGGACATGGAATGTGTCTCAATAAGCCCCAATTTATATATAGTCTGTATTTTATCAGTTAATCTCATTGAGATAAAGATCGCTTAAGACCTGACGTTGTCAAGTACACAAATTACAAAACATAGCCAGCCACACAAAAGAAAATACATGCACATGCTAATATGTATTTTAATGAACACCCCACAAGAACAGTGTTCTTCAACACTGATACAACAGACTTAAAGTACAGCCATACTCAGATGTTTTGTCAAGCTTTATGTTAATGTTTCCATTTCATCCACTATAGACAGAATCTGCAGCTTTCTGCCACTTCCTGTTACAGGACTCACTCCCTCCAGAACCCTAAAAGAAATAAATGCAGGAGCCAGGTTGTCAGGTATCATTTTATAAAACAGTTTAAGTTCACCTATTAGGAGTTCCTATGAACTCCACAGGATATACCCATGTTCTTGATGTGTTTTTGATATACATAAGCTCTGGCAGAACCTTGGCTGAATTACATTACATAGCCGTGCACATGGTCATTGCAACACCCACACAGGAAAAGGATAAATCCATCTTTAGGAAACGGGACCTGGAAAAAATAAAAACGTGTTAAAATCTATCAGGATTATATAATGCAGTGAAGCACTGCAGGCAGGTACTCAGAAGCAGCAACACATGTAGGGAATCAGTGGCAGGCTGGCATGGTATGTAAAACAATTGCGTCCGATTGTCTTGAATCAAAGGGAGAATCGAGAGTGAGCAGTGATATTCTGGTTTTCCTCCTCTTCCTGAAGGTATAAAGTGTTTGCAGCATGACAAATATCATGTAGACTACGCATCACGGTGCTGCATTTGTTCCTATGCATGTAAGATTTGCCATTGCTCTTGGCAGCTGTGTTAGCCAGTCCTGCACAAAGTATGTGACATACTTCAGCAGTTGGGCCGGTATCCCAAAGCATGCATGTATTCTGTCTATAGCTTCATGACAAGCTACTAGCTGGTGGTTTTACATGCCGTGCAGAGGTTTCGGGGCGCGAAAATCTTAGAAGTTTTCCGCGATGCGCATGTCGAGCGTATCAAGGCTTCTATCGTCTTTAGACCAATAACGTCTGTAATGACGCCCGAAGCCTCAAGTGATTCAGATCTTGGCGCAACGACGTTTATAAGTTGTTGCTTATTGTTGTTACTCAATAAAAACGAATAGTCTCCCCTTAGTGTACTTTTCTTAGTTACACTAGCACGACCGCTGTCTAAACCACTGCCACTTTCCAATTTTAGAACACACATTTCCCCTCCTGCCATTATTATATTATGAAACAATTATTAATCCAAAGGATTGGTTTTCACACAATTGATGCATTACTTACAAGAAAATTACATTTGTTATACAGTTATGTTATAAAATCATAAAACACTTACTACAAAGTAGGCACTATACTGATAGAAATGGATTCCAATTTTAATCGATTTATATTCCATAAATAAGTGTATCAAAGATGACGTGATTAAGATTATATCTGGCTGTTTTACACTCTATGGCCAACAGGTAGTTTGTGCACGTGAAGCCTCAATAAATGAACCCTTTTGTAAAACAATTTGCTAAAAAAGCTTCAATACTTTATGAAGCTTCATTGTGCCATCACTACTGCTAACATTATTGCAAATCAAAGTATTATCTTAACTAGTTACTTACTTGTAAGCTCTTTGGTTCTCAGGCAAAAGGTCCTTCAGAGGATCTCATGACTATTATACTTCCTGGTTCTACCATGTGTTTGCAGCAGGGGTTGGAACAAATGTCTATTTTTGATAAGATTATTTTTTCCCTAAAGCAAGTGGTTGCATGTTTATCTACGTAATTGTTTGGTCACTTGTTGATATAATTCTATAAATTGTAAATCTATTTGGCTGTATTGTCTGTTTATGTTTATCCATCTAGTGAGCTTCCCCATAAGTGGTTTGGTAGAGTCCAGGTTAGGCCTTCTGGCAGAGTTTATTTAGGGTAGTTGAGCAATTGCTAGGGTTTGCTCCTCAGTTCTGTTGATTTGCTGCTCATGCTAACCCAATACATTTAGATACCAGAAAAGAGTCCGTGCCTCCTTGCTTATGCTCAAGTTTGGGCCAACATGTCGCCACACTCGCCCAATGCTTCAGGTGAGCAATAACCCTGGCTACAAAGTTCATTTTAGAGGGGTAGGCCACAATGAAGGACCAGAAGGTAGAAGCAAGGGAAAAGTAAAAGTATCCAATTTGGAACGCAGCTAATGTAGTTGTTACTTTTGACTTACTGTAGGCTAGTGAGTAGCTATAAACAGCCTGTGGCTGTTGTGATTTCCAAGGCTGTGACAATAAGCATTTTTTTAACGGATGTAACGGTGCATGCAGGGACTGTGCACTTAATTGTAATGGTTGTGTTGGCTGCTTCTTCCTGACCAGTGCCACTGTCTTATTGCATAGAGTATCAAGCCAGCCAGTCAGTCATACAGGAGTAGCCACAGCTACAGCTGTAGCTACAACGGAAGCCACAGCAACAAGTGGTATTTCGGTGCCCAACCAACAGCCACAGCAAAGAGTGGGCCAACTCCCACTGCTATGTGTCATAGCAAGTGGTTGTAGCTAGATATTGTTAGCTTGCTGTTCTTACATTGCCAACTACAACGACAGTCCTTTTAAAGCCCAGTTGTGTTGTTCACTTTCAGGAATGTTTTCATTTGGTTTTCCTTGCTGAGGACAAGAAAGGGCTCATTACTTACATCAAGTTCATCACTTTGGGGCTCACTGAAGAGTGGATATCAGAAAAAGATGAAGCGCTGATGTGGAACTAAATGCACCCACATCTGAAATGGTAGCACAAGGTGAGTACACAAAAAGAAACGGAAGCATCCCAGTTCAGGTACGTCCTTCAAACTATGCCGTTCAAGATGGGTCATGACTGGTCAACAGAGGTGTCTCTTTCCTAAGTCTCCTCCAAGCATGGCTGAGAAATGCAGCCTTCTTTTGTAGCCCTTGCAGCCCACAAAAGAGTGGTTTAGTGCAAAGTTGATTGTACCAAATATGGAACTTAATATAGTGTAGACCTCCATAAAGTACACACCTAGAAACAACCATCTACATATTTAGCAAATTGAGGTCAGTGTGTCCCTGTAAATAGCTTGGTATTGCATTTAAAGCATCTATAGCAGAAGTGTTTGTTGCATGGAAAAAGGGGTGGAAGGCTGTGTGTTATGAGTGATGTGTGTGTGTGTTATGATGGCTCTATTGTTGAGAGATCTGAGAGGTTGGAGGTAAGGAGAACAATGGTTTTGAGAGCACGGGGAACAGCATAGTAATATGGACTGAAGAATGTTTTTGTCAAGCAGCGATAGAAGTTGGACTGCAACAGACGGTGCTTCGTGTTTACCAATGACCTGTGTCTGGTGGCGTTTGTGAATATGAGTGGTGTGCTGGTCAAAACTGAGTTTAATGTTGAGTGTGACACAAAGTGCTTCAAACTCTACTTTCAGGATGTCTATGGCCAAATGGTAACGACACATGTTGCCACATGCCTGGTTTGGGTCCAGTTGGGGCATTAATTGCAAAATACAAAAAGAATAAGTCATTCATATGTTTTGCTGTACTGTTTATACAATTTAGTCTTCCTATACAGTGAAGAGAAGTTCATGATTATAATCAAATTCACAATGTTTGTGTTTGCATTAATAGCCCATTGTGATCAACGTTGCAAATATATGACTAGTCTTCTATAGGGCAATATTGGATTTTTACATCAATGTGATCAGTTAGCCATTTTTTCATCATGTATTTATTTCTGATATTCAATTCCATATCGTTATTGATCTGTAAACTGTAAACTGTTTCAGAATTGAATTTCCACTAAACATCTTTTTATATCTATCTATATATCTCTATCTA